CTAAGACCCTCAATCTTAATATAATAGTGAGGAGACAAGTCAGAGCAACAGGGGTTTGTACATCTGACTTCAGATACCCAGAATTCGGATGTTGTTTCAAGCTTTTTATGATTGTTGATAACGAGTAAAGAAAGCATGTGAATGGAATTAAAGGAGCTACATTACTACCTCGTGTTTTTATTTTTCCCAGAAAGCTCTTTGTGTCAAAGTCTGGTTCACAGCTCAGTCCCTGCAGTTAAGTACCCCACATACCCCCACTGGCTTCCTCTATCACCTTGCCTTGCCGAGAATACATTTCTTGGACAGTCATCAAAAGTCTGAGTCAGACTGAGGAGCTTTGGGGGCCTGGAAATGGAAACTTATTTAGCCCTGCACTCTCAAGACAATTCCGCATAAAATCTAATACGGCCAGCCAGACAGAGAGGGAGAGTGAGAGGGTGAGGTGAAAAGGAAGTATAGAAGTAGCCACATTACCCTTCAGGAGACCTCCATCAGCCTGTTCAGGACTTTTTTTTCTGTTGCTCCCTATCCTCACTTTCACCCTAAAACTTTAAGGTTTTGCACAAATAGTGGAGCAGAGAGGAGTAGGTGTAGCATCGGGTTGAAGTTATATTTATGGTGTTTGCTCATTCCCGATGCCATACTTGCTAACTGATCAGTTCTTTATCCTCTGTCTGAGTTTGTCAAAAGAATCCCAAGTCAGCCTTTACCGATGTGGACTCCTGAAAGTCTAAATCAAACTGAACTGTAATCCAAAGGGAGGTTGTCCCTGTGGTGAAAGGTGCAGTGATACCTCGCAAGAGAACGGTTTGCGGTAAAATCTTGGTGCTGGTGTTCAGAGGCCTTTGTGGGTTTCGGGGATCATATGCTGTAATTCACTGGCGCGAGATTTAGTACCCAGAATGTTTCTGTACGAGGAGATAGAGGTGATTTGGCACTCTCTTTCTTGGTAGTGCCGTTCCAAACGCACATGTGCCAAACACTACATGAGCCTCCTCAGCGCTTTATCTTGTCCCTTCACTTAACAGATAAAACATTGCTTGAGGATCGCAGACTCTTTTTATCAGTCTTGAACTTGCTGTTGTAAATCGAGGACGGAGTCATGCGACACGGTTCACGTTTACGCTTCATTTTGATGATACCACGCACACTTGAGGCCACATCGAAAGAAAAGAAAAAATTAGATTCCAATCAGATAAATCACTTAATTATGGTCTTATTTGCCAACAAAGATGGAATGTGATTGAATAAATTTGGAGGCATTTCTTGTGTATCGTGTTGTGGGTTTACCTCGTTTACCTCGTCCATTATACTTTAAATAAAGGGCTGTAAGTCAGGGGTAGTTATTGGATGTTGAGTTAAGGGAATTACAGTCATGCAAAGTGCATTAGGCAAAGCTTCACATCATGTTGACAGTTGTTTACTTGAAAGGCATATATAAGGAAGCAGGTAAACACACTGTGCTTTATTTTCTGTTATTTACCATTATTTATTTACCCAGCCTTGGTATGGAATTAATGCCATTTGATTTGACTGCTTTTAAAACTTAATGTAAGGTTTTTACCTCCAGGGCTGATTTAATCTGGTGCATGGGCAGTGCGTTATCTCTGTATCATCAGAAGCAGCAAAGTGGTGTGTGTGAAGCAGAAGATGAACTAAGTGGCGAGCTTCAGCAGCAATATAACTGGTGGCTAGTGCAGTGCAGAAATCTTGCTTCAAAGATTTTAAAGTAGGGTTGGGCACTGGGAATCGGTTCTTTAGATCTGTTTTCAAAAGTCTAATTCCAAAGGAATAGTTAAGCATTTTCAATTTTAAATGTACGCACTGATTCCTAAACAACTTTTGCTTTGGTTAGTTTTAAATAAACAGTGTCCTGCAAACACCTATTGTAGATTCACCACTATCAAGCTGCGGCATTAGTTATGCTAATTGAATACATGCGGGTCTTCCTGTCTCATAATTGTGTTAATAAACGTTGAATCCAACATCATTTTCATTGAGCTATTGCAGGATCACTTTATTATTTATTTTATTTAGTTAACTGTTATCTTACAGGATAAGTTAGTTGTGAACTGGTTCTCATTTTCAGTAACAACTTGGTCAAGAGGCGGCATACGAACAAGATGAACAACAAAAACAGATTACATGTACAACAAATCACACAATATTACAAAACAGATTACGCAATGACTTGTAAAATAGAGGCTAAAAACAGGTGCAGTGGTCCTGAAGTTTTATTCTAGCTGAATTTTTAAACGGCGAGAGAGTCAACGAATTTGTCGATGAACAGTCCAAACCACCTGCTCCTCAAAGAAGTGGACTCAATAACCGTTTAGAGCCAAACTTGATAAGCTTAATCCAAGTCGATTCCGAATTGTTTATGTACAAATGATACCCAACTCTACTTGAAAGGTATCCTCGAAATACACGGCGATGCTCCTGTTGAAGTGGACAGTGTTGCTTGAGACTTTTTGCAGCCCACAACACTCATACTACATACATTCTGTGATCAGCGCTAACCTTTACACACACACACACACACACACACACACACCTTTACCGTCTCCAAACAGCCATTTTATTACAGCCTCCCGCGTATTATTAAAAGAAGCTGTCTCCACTGCTTAGAAAATCAGGTCAACCACCACCGTACCCCTGACCTCAACCTTTTGCAACATGGACATAGTTGTTTCATTAGTGAAGCTTTCTTCAAGGAAGTCTCTTACCAAGGATTGAGGTCAGTGTCATCACCAACTTACAAGTCAGTTAATGGAGGCCACAACATTTCCATGCTGGAAGCAACCATGGCAGGAAAAAAAAAAAACACTCAGTGACATACTCGCTTTTGCACACTCCATTTTCCTGCCGTCTGCTTGCAGTGTGGCTTAAAAAAAAAAAAAAAGTCAAATCACTGACATTTTGATATGCCATCTCTCTTTTCTCCCTCGTGATTTGTCATGCCTGCTGCCCAAAAACTCTTCGAAAAATCTTTTTTCCGCTCTGTTTTCCGTCTCTCCTCGCAATCCTCAAGGTGAGTTGTGTTCAGCTCGACTAATAGGTTGAGCTAATGCACGGTGTCGCTGTGGCCCCCCCACTACAGCGAGAGCTCACTTTATAAACAAAGAGGGACCTGTCTTCATAAAAAAATATAAATTCTACTCATGCGTACATCCAGAAAGCTTCATGGCTGTAATTGATTCGAGGAGAGTTCTATTGCGCAGTCAGTCACGCATCTTCACTAATCACCATCAATAGACTTAATCTCTCTTTCTTGTCTTTTTTTTTTCTTTTTTTGGTGGAAACTTTAATTAACGGGTTTTATTTTGTTGCTCTTGCTGCATCAGTACACAAAGATGGTTTTGCATTCAGAGATGATTTCGTTATTAACTCGGCAAAAATCTGCTACTTTTCTATTTTGACTGTCTTACTTAATTACTTAATCAAAACGTTGACCTTATTTTCTTGCTGCTTTTACTCCCAATGCCTTTTCCTCCATTGGCAGTAATGAGAACTGGGTGGAGGTGTACCTGGGAGTGTATCTACTCTAAGCGTATATCTGGGTTGGTGAGATGAGGTGGACACAGTTGGGGAAATGTAATTTACAGTTGGGGAATTGGAATTTATGCAGACACTTGTTCGAATGTATGCTTCGGTATATTGGTGTGGATACTGTACGTGTGTGTGTGTGTGTGTTTAGGAGAATGTGCACGCTTGTGTTAGTGTGTCTCAAGATAAGGCACGCTGTGTCCCCAAATGACTTGGGCTTTAACAACTGAAGAAGTGCCCGGTAAGCAACAGCCCTCATTAGCATACAGATCAGGAGGCATTTTAAGTGTTTGTGAAGTTTAATTCACTATTGCTTTTCCAAAGCAATAAAAGGAGTATATTTTCTCTACAAACGTCAGTGCTGGTCTTTCCTGTTCCGATTTTTTATTGGGCCACAGTTTGGTTAAGAGTTGTTAACATTACAGCTCCCTTTAAGTACCAGACCCTCCTTTTAATAGATCTTAAAGGTGTAGCATTTTAACACCTCCAAGTCACGGCCACATTAATTCTGATACATTAGTATAATTACCATAAACAAACAAGACAATCACCAGGAAGACTGGCAGGTTCTGCCAGCCTCTAAAATATATTTTCTGTCATTGGGCTTGACTTTATTGGAAATATGATGGATTGCGTAAATGCTTTATGCCACAAAACACAAGCATGAGCAGAGCGAGTTTCTCGCAGTGGCAGATAACAAAGGAATTAGTTTCAAGAATATTTATTCTCTGAAAATCCTTCGCGACAGTATTGATGAGAAATTGTGTGTGCACCAGTTGTTGTGATCTATACAGTAGAATATATACGTGACGATTCTCAGTCATCCAGGTCATGGTTCTCCTCGTAGTTTAATCGTAGCAACTGGACTTGCTTGAGTTCCTTAAAGACATTTCACCCCTCATCCAAGAGGCTTCATCATTTCTGACTGACTAGTTGGGAGTTCCTGAATCCCACAAACCCCACCGTGGCAGGAGGAGTCCTAACGACTTGCATAATGAGGGGGAGGAGCAACAAATTGAAACTGAAACTCAAGTGTTAATGGCTCCTAAAGAATGTATCTGGAACTCCCAACTAGTCAGTCAGAACTGATGAAGCCTCTTGGATGAGAGGTGGAACGTCTCCAAGGAACTCAAGCAAGTCCAGTTGCTACGATTAAACTACGAGGACAGTAGAATATACTTTAATGCATCTTGCATGGCTAGTAGTTGGACACGTGGTTTATGGTGACCCAATGGCTTGACAACCTTAACAAAATAAACAGATAAAATGGTGGTGCAAATATCCGAAACAGCAGATTTCACATACTCAGAAGTGTTATTTGTGTGGACAGAAATGTTGTAGGTAATGGTACCTAGACCTGGAGTGTGCAGGATATGCAAACCACTACTTGTTTACAATCTGTGTGACACTATAGTAAAAGTCTATGTCTCTTTTCTTTCTATTTCTGTCTCCAGGTTCACTGGCCCCAACCTTCCCTCACCCATCATTAGCAGCAAGAACTGGCTCCGACTGCACTTTATTTCTGATGGCAACCATAAGCTGAGAGGTTTCAGCGCCCAGTACCAAGGTGAGATAAAGAGATCTTTTGAATCCTGGGGTCATATTCGTATCTTCTTTGGGTGCTGTGGGTTCAGCTTTGTACATAGATGTTGGCAAATGGCCAGATAGTCATGATATACTTGCGATCTCCATAAGGATGAAGCCTCCTTCGAGCATTGGATTCTCAATATAAACAAGTCTCTAGTGTCACAGTCAGAATGTAGTTACACTCCTCTGATGATGCCATTCTATAGCAGACAAAACAAACAATCAGAAACAAAGCAGCTAGCTACAAACTGGAGCTACAACACTTGTTTCTATTGCATGTGAACAGCATCCGCCTTTTGTACGATTTTGCCAGTTTTGACAGTGGGATGGCAGGACAAATTATTTCACAGTTTTGGCAGAATATGTGTTATCAGAGAAACAGGATTGCAGGATTATTTCGAGAGTGCCGCGTGATTGTGCAAACACACGCGTGCCGACACACAAAATCCTCTCTGTGCCACGCACCCGTTTTCTGTCTCATTACTCTTAGAGGTTCAGAGGTCAGCTCTGAGAAGGGATGAGCAGGGAAAATGGATTAGCTTGTCCACAAACAAAGGTGATCTCTGAGGATCTCACCTCTAGCCATCTGCTGGAAATTTCACCGATGATGGGAAGAGAGAAAGAATGAAGACAGAACAGAGAGATGAATGAAGAATACGTAGAAGATGGGCCTATTGGATTACAGGTTCAACGTTAGATAAATATGTTTAGAAGATCAGAGAGAGAGAGAGAGAGGGGAGACTAATACTTTAATTAGATTAAACACCGACACCGTTTCAGTCGTCCCCCACTCCATACTAGACATTCTAATCATGACCGCTCCCCTGGTTCCACTGCAGCAGCTTCTCGGAGTCATGAGTGATTGAATATCTCCACTGAGTATTTTTCTTCCTGTTCATCCTTTATGTTACGTACCACAGGAAGCAGCCACACCCCATCAAACCCCGCGACTAATGGCTCAGTTCTCTTACTAAGAACATGCTAATAGCCTTTATTTTTTTTCTTAAATCCTTTTATAATCAAGATCACAAATCTAAAAGAAAGTTTTTTTTATTGTAATTTTTCTTCCAGACTCATAATAAACAGACTTTTTGACACATGACTCAGATTAGCTTTGAATTAAAATGCAGCTGAAACAGAGGAAAGGATGAAAACACATTTGCAAAACAAGTAAAGTTCCATTGTCGGGGACCGTCGGAGTAATTTATTAGGATGAGTGTGAAGGGGAGCACAGATAATGCTGATGGTGTTTTGGAAATTGGTGAATAAATATGCATTTAAATGAGACTCTTACTTGCAGTGATAACTTTTTTTTAAGAAAAACTTTTTGCTGCAATTATTACCAAACTTAATGGTTTAAACCTCGTCTTTTCATTGTATAGACATGAGTGGTTTTGCTCCTGATATTCTCTGCCTTCTAACCATATTAATGGCATTTTTCAAAAAATAAAAAAAAATCTTATTTTCAGGAGCCTTCATTCCAGCTGACAGAAAGGAAATTGCACATTGTAGAAATCTCTTTTGACTTTTAATGTTTAACATAAATGTGTGTTGTTGATCCATTTAAGATAAAAGTTGAGTTTTATTATCAGAATTTTTTTAAATTTTTAAATTTTTTTTTACCAACTTTTACAATAATTTTGTCAAAACTGATGTGAACATCATACTGTATATCCTACAGTATGATATAATATGTGCTGCACACATGTAGCCACTGGTGGACTGCGTGGGAGTCATTATTGCACTTCCTGCCATCTCATACATCTCTCTGCCATGTTGTCTCCACAGTGAAGAAGATGACTGAACTGAAGTCTCGAGGCGTAAAGATGTTGCCCAGCAAAGACAACCACCACAAGATATCAGTGTGTAAGTTACAAACCTTTTTTTTTTTTCCTCAAATAAACACATGAAGTCACTTATTCAGTGGCCACTGGGTTATTACCAAGGGATTAATTTTCCCTCTTGATAAGTCTTGAATACACAAGTGTGGGATTAGATCTACCTTGCACAGGATTTTAAAATGGAGCGCATCTCTAATTCTGCATCTCAGTCGGAGAAAAGCAGTGTTTTCCTTGCTTGAGAAATTGCACGTACGGTTGTATTAAGATTTTTATTTTTTTTTTTTTTAACTCTGAATAGATAAAAAATGCATCTGGGGTGAAAACACTAGTGATGGCAGATACAGATGCTCGTGTCTCACAACGCTGCAGATTATCATCATTAGAGTATCACATAACCGCTCACACACACAGACATACACTCACTGTAATTTCTGGGTTCTAATTGGTTGGAAGGCACGCATTAACTTTTACTAACCTGACAGTTAAATTTAACACCTGTGACATAGGCGTTTATTTGCTGTAAGTAATGGGCCTGCATTATCCTATAGGTAACCATGGTAACGGCATTGTAGCCTCGTCATCTTCCAGTTTAACAAAAGGCCTTTATTGTAGCCGGCTATTTCATCCAACAAACTCTACAATAGAGTTTACAATTCATTTGGCTGTTTGATAAACATACAGCCTTCGAAAAACAAAGAGAAACAGGAGAACAACACCAAAACACCCTCCTGCAGATTTGGCAGTCAAAACATTAATGAATTATCTTCAAAGAAAAAGGCAACATCACAGACATGCAATCTTATTGCACAGATTTCCTGAATGAGATGCAGAGGGAGTTTTATGCCTCCGCCCAGCCATTGAAACCGGGAACAAAGTACAGCCTTGCAAGCGGTACAAGTCTGAGGGCAGGCATCAATGGATGCCTAACTGCCTTCAACTTAATTACCGGCACCGAGCTCCACTCATCAAACTCAGTTTTTAAATCTGTAATTAAATGCTAGAGAAAGGGTGGAAAAGATGTAAGTTTTCACTACCCTCTTGTGACAGTGTCTGACCTGAAACTAATTAGAAATTCACCTACGCTGCCACCTGATACAGCTCGAGGTCTCGTCCATAAGGTGTGGGTTGGTACCCAGCTGCGTTTGGCCTGAAGGGCCAGACAGGGAAATCGAGGGCTGTCCTGTTCCTGTGTTTTGTTTTTTTTTTGCTTAAAGTCAGAAGAAGATTGGGTTTGCTTAAGTTGCACTGCCATGAAATTCAGAAAGCAAGGTCCAGATGATCCACAAATGGAAATCTCTGTGGTTTGATGTTTGCAAATCCAAGAACCCAACATACACTGTACTATAATAATCTTTCCAACTGTCCATACATGCAAAACACCTGCAGTGTTTGGTGCATTAGCTAAAGCCAGGTCAAAGATATGCACTCACTAGTGTACTAGTTAGTATTTAAATGCCATTTGTACGTGGTAAATACCTTTTGTTAAACAATCTTTTCCACCATCTATTTTTTTGAGGAAGGCTTGGCTTGTCACATTGTTATATGTAACACTGTGGAAAAAAACAACCTGATGCCTCTTTGATCCTTGCTGAGAGAGCTGACAAATTATTTCTGTGACCAGTTGTCTCTACAAAAGTAGCCTCAGGAGTTACCGGGCCTCATCTGTTCTGGAAAGGAGAGCAAGGAGCAATATTTTGTCATCTCAAATTGGTCTCAACATTTTCTTTCCTGTCCATTTTCCTCTACACTCGACTACAAATCTGCTCTTCTGACACAACTTTTGACTTTCCCTGTAGTTTGTCAATGTCTGCCTTTTACAGTAAATGGAAGTACTTAGTTCAAATTGAGCATATTTATAGATGTTACCGGATGTGGATGTCTTTCTGTTTTCTTCGGACAATATTTGCTTTTAATTTGTGTGAATACTAGCTAATCATTCCTGTCAGAATGCTAGTGAATATACTCGCACAGATGTTGGGCCTGTCATGCCCTTGACGATGGCGTCATTTGATTGTTTGTTATACGTTCTTAATTGATTTGGCTGCTGAGTCTTAAACCTACATGATTGCGAAAACAAGTCAGTCAAGGTTTAGTACAAGGAAAAAAAATAACACCTTGAATTTGCCTGCAAATTTCACTTTATTTTTCTTTTTTTTTTTAAGAACGTTATTGTCTCCACAACTTGTGTGTCTGGCTCTTGATGATGCCAGACGGCTCTTTTCAGCGTTTCACCTGTCTCACCTCTTCTTCAAAGTCAAGTTCTGTTCCTTGGCCAGAGAAAAGGGGGTAACTGCCGACTGTCAAAGAGATGCAGGCACAAAGGACACACATTCTGTGCGAGAGATGCACTTGTAATAGCAAATTGACAGCAGTAATTGCATTGGTCTCTTTTCACCATATCTTCTTGCCCTTGTCCTTGCTCATCCTCTGTCTGAGTTCACCGTTCATTATCCCATTCACATTTATTTGAACATTCATATGATTAACATGGCAGCGATGAGTCACCCATGTAGAGCACCACAGAGCGATGGATATTTAAAGCCTGAAGAACAACCTGTTGAGGGGAAAAAAAAACAAATGCTTTGAGGCAATCATTGCAATACTACCTCCAGGCAATTTACAATTCATTATATGCGCTTTTGAATTCCTATTTGCTTTTAACCTCACCCGTCAGTCAAACATATTTGTACCTCCGTGCCGGCGACAGTGGTGGTCAGAGGCACGCTTTCAGGTCGCCTGTCCGTCCCATTCTCATTAAAATCTCAGGAATGGAATTCTCTCAAATTTGGACGAAATATTTACCTGGATTCAAGGATGAATTGATCAGAATGTGGCGATTAAAGAGCAAAGCGATCTCATAAAACACAGCTTTGGCCAAATATCCAAAAGTATAAAGGTCAACTTCATTTTGGTTTCAGGATGTGTGTAAAAAAAAGACACTTCTGGTGATTATTCAATAACATTTCTGCAGAGCTTCTGACCGTATTTCACATTTTTCATGGTCAGACACTGAACTAGTGACACCAGTCTTGGATGCCTGCTGTGGAACTGTTGTTAGATCTTCTGTGCTGCTGGTTTGGAGATGACTTTGTTGCTTCTTTGCTGCATTAACATTCATATTTGAGGAACCGTTTACTACAACAGAATCAACACAAACAGGCAATCCGACTCTATTTTTTTTACCCTCTAAGTGAAACTGAGAAACTTCAAAGTCTTCTTCACGTATATAAGTCGGAACAGACATGGATATAAACTGCAACTTTTTAGCAGAGGCATATGACCCTGAGGCGATGCTTTAATTTGATTTGAGTTGTTGCTTTTACACTCACCGTACTCCACGTCTCATTGTATTTGACTGCCTGTGATCCCTAATGGACAAGAACTTCATGCAAAATATTGTTTTGTGTCACGTAATGACCCCCAGATATTTTTAAGGGAATGAAACCCTACTTTAAGGTACTCCTTGTTGGACCTCAATAAATGCTTAATTTCAACCTCTTCCTTCATCATGCAAAATGTCTTTAATGTTCCAGCTTTCAGCAATTCAGGTTTCAGAATTACAATGCTGCCATTTCGAATCTTTAGCATCTTATATTGCAACGTTTGCATCAAATTTAAGGGTCAATAAATTGCATGAACAAGTTGACAGTCATCACAGTTTTCAACATTGTCCTCTGTTTATTTAACAGTTATCCATTATTCATTTGTCTTACTACCTCCGTGAGCCCTGTTTCTAAATTCGCTGCTGTCTCGCCTCACTCTGGGACCCTGGCCAACGTGCAGGTGTCGCATCGATTGGACCCTGCAGACCTTTTGACCCCTCGCAGCCAGCCGGAGCGCTCCCTGTTGGCCCGAGTTTAGTTGACCGCCTCTGACACTTAAACTTGCACAGTTTTTTTGGACCCGGTGACATGATTTAACGGAGCACCGCCAAGACCGCGCACCCGGGATAACGCGCGTTTGATAATGTTATTCACGTCAAGGTCTGTGCTACGTGAGTTGATGTACGAAATGTGAGCGCAAATGTCAAGCACGTCTCATGCACCCGAAACAAAAGGCTTAGGCAGCTGTTACAACCTATTAGATTCCACTCGTCAACCTTTTTATCTTTAAATTTGTTTTGTAATGACAACATGGCAAGTCATCACCAGAGGAAAGAAAATAAGCAAAAAAAAAATAAAAAAGCTCAGAACAATTAGGTTTAAGAGAGGACACTGTAGGTAAATAAGGTTTTTTATTTTTTTTTAATAATGAACATCACAACAAAACTCCCCTGTTGATTACTTACAATAAGACAATGATTGTTTTGTTTTAATAGTTTTCCAAAATGTTATGTTTGAATATGCAAATGGGATATAATTTATTGGGAAAAAAATGCCCTCATTTGCATTAATTTTCTTGAACAGAAATCTGAACCTGTGGTAACACTTGGGCTCAGGCCAGGTGGTTTCGTTTTGTTGACAGATTAATCAAATGTTCATAAAGAGGGGATTTGTGATACCTTTGTTTGCTGCTCCATAAATCTAAATATACTGTCAACAGTCAGGAAACATCCATTTTCACAATGATTTTTAGGAATGAAGTGATGAATAAATCAGTCTTTGAATGATACATGAACAAAGCCCTCATTAAAAACCTTTAGAATGTAGGCAGGAATACAACTGAAAGGTTTGGAGTCAATAAGTGCTGCTGAAGAGATTTCTGGCTCAGAAAACTAATTTGACAAAAGTTTACTTTATTGTCATTGAAATGTGCACATGCAAAGTGCAATAAAACAAACACCTCTTTCCATTAGTCTAAAAGAAGATTTCAGAATTCTAAACTTGACCAAAACACATTTTTGCCACGTTAATTTTTAAAAAAAAATCTACTTTCATATTTTTATGGTCAACATGTTGCTTAGTAGGGGCTGCAAGGTGGCTCGGTGGTTAGCACTGTTGCCTCGCAGCGAGAAAGTTGCTGGTTCACATCCCGGTGAGGACACCAGGGATCTTTCTGCGTGGAGTTTGCATGTTCTCCCTGTGCAGCGTGGGCTCTCTCCGGGTTCTCCGGCTTCCTCCCACACAGTCCAAAAACATGTTGAGGTTAATTGGTGATTCTAAATTGTCTGTAGGTGTGAATGTGAGTGTGCTTGGTTGTCTGTCTCTAAGTGTAGCCCTGTGATAGACTGGTGACCTGTCCAGGGTGTCCCCTGCCTTCGCCCTGAGTCAGCTGGGATAGACTCCAGCCCCCAGCGACCCTAGTGAGGATTAAGCAGTGTATAGATAATGGATGGATGGATGTTGCTTAGAACAGTTACACATATGACTGAGGACCTACCATTTTTCACTTTCATGATTATATTTTCCTTGAACAGGATATTTTCTGAATAATCAATTTAGTTTCTAGCTGCAGAACAGTCAGGTCACGTTCTTTAATGTTAAAAGTTTAAAATTCTATCTAATGTCTTTCTCCCTCTGTCTTCAGTGTCCCAGATGGGCGTAGCACAGGGACACAACATGTGCCCAGATCCTGGGATTCCGGATCGAGGAAAAAGAAAAGGATCTGACTTCAGGTAACAACAAGTGAAGACGACTTAATTCAGTGCTAACGGCAACTGAATAGGTTAGAAGTCCTGAACAATCATAGTCTGATTGACACAGTACCATGGTAGAACTGAGAGCTCCTCTGGTTTCCTTACCTTCCTTTGTTGACCCTATTTGCCATTGAATTTTATATAACCTGGATATACTGGCTTTAGCTATATAGTATACAGTTATATGGCTTCTTTTAGTTCTTCAAATCAGTAACTTCAATCCTCAGCACAAGCCTTTTTTTTCCTAAATTTAATTGTCAGGGCCCAATTATCGTGTGAAAGAGTAATGACGGTGTTCTGTGACAGTTCACTGTTCAAACTCCATTGTAATATTTTGTGGTCAGTTCAGATGTCTTGTGATAAAGTTCAGTTTTAATTAAGCTTTTCTAGCGTCTCTTCAAAGTCGTAGTCGTTCCCTTTTATCTGTTTGGCTTTTCAGTAAAATTAAATGTAATGGAATAAAAATGGAACAACCTACATTAATTAATGGATGGCACAATATCAGGATTGCCACAAAATGGAAATTGTGCTTCCCCCAAACTCCATCCCGAATGCTTTCTAATCTCTTCGTTCACTGTTATAGGATTTTAACTTCACGCACTTTAAAAAGTTGTAATCAACAACGAGCTATCGCAGGGCACTCTCGGGTGTTGTCACCACATCAGGGAATGCATTTTGAAAAGTGCATCTTTAAATTACCCGGTGTCATGCCCCATAAAGCCCCCCGCAAGCAAACCTGGATGGAGAAATGTGTGCACCAAAAGAAATACCTTGCTATTTGAGCCACTGCACACTAATAGGCTGCCTCTGTGAGATAGTGATATCACCGGTGGGATTATGGAGTTTTGTTCCTGTCAGAGCCATTGTCTCTATCAGTGGTCAGCTGTAACACAGACAAATGGGCAACATCCGTCTCCCACAATGCAGCAGTTTTCCAAATCACAACAAGGAAGGCAAAAGAAAATACATCTATTTATTTATTTTTTTGTCCCAGTAAACATTTTTTTTTTCTTGTTGCTCTAACCTCATCTGCAACCCCACTGTTAAATAGTGACTTCTACAGGAAAGGATTGTGGCGCTGATGTGTTTGCCCTGTGTGCCATCTACCTGCAGGCGAGGAGCTACGGTGCATTTCTCCTGCGACGAGGGCTACGAGCTGCAGGGCTCAAAGAGCATCAGTTGTCTCAGAGTAACAGACAGCTACGTGGGCTGGAGTGATGATCGGCCCATCTGCAGAGGTAGGGATTGACAAGTCTTGTCCGGCGATGCACATGTGTAATGTGGCATGTGTAATATATAATGTATTCTACGTTTGCTTGTGATGTTGTGTAGCTGCTCAGTCCAGTTCTTCCTTTCACCATTGTGTTGTGACTGACCTGACTTTGACCTTTTGCCGTTTCTTTTGCTTCCCGTTGTTCAGCCATGCTGGCCCATCAATCATGTCTTCGTCACTCGTGAGCATTTTTCTGACGTGCAGGAAAAGCAATCAGGCTCCCTACGCAGTTGCACTGATGCTGATGTGGTTGTCAGTTTTAAGTTTCAATAGAAAGCCTCACTAAACGAAGTAAAACAAATAAATCTGTTGTCATGATGTTTGGTTTAAAGGATGGGCATCCATTCGTCACAGCAGATTATATAAAAGGTGTTTTTTAGGATGTTTATGTGCTGTATTTTTATTTGCAGGAAGACACCATACGAGTTAATAAGCAGTTAAACAGCACATCTTAGCATTTGTGCTTTGAAACGTCAATGTACTGATGACGGTCTCAAAGACAGCCAGGCGTTAACACGTAACAAACCTAGGGAACCAGTCTCACCAGCTTGCATTGTGGGCCTTTCCACGTCATCATTCTTCTTCGGATTACAGTTCAAACATGTAGAATTACTGCACTACTACAACTTTACATTGTGTAGTGCAGAATAGTTTTACAGTTTGGGCAGTCTTGGTAAGGTTCTTGGGCTACAGCAAGCATGAAGTTGTCAGTGGAGAAAGGGCCAGGAAGCTCATAGATGTACACATCCTGGTGCCGTTACATCTAAGCCATGTTAATACACAAAGGGATTTTGTGTATTGAACCTTCTGAATATGTAACCTGATACATGGAGATGAATTTTTAAGGGTTTAAATCAGTGGCAATGGAAGGGCTTTATCATGTTCTGTTAACTTGTTGGTGGTATCGCTTCAGAGCGTAAACTATGACAATTAAAACAATCCCATTCTAAGTACCCTAAAGTTCAATGTCCTGAAAAAGTTTAACATCGTGGTCCTTACTTTTCAGTTTAGTGGGCTGACGACTGACAGCTAGAAAATATAAATCACAATGTGATAAGGCAATGCTTCTTGGCTGTGATGCTTTTGGGTTTCAGTTCATCAGAGTTCTGAATGTCAGTACCAATCTGAAGGCAAACTATGAAGAGAAGTATCTTTCTTTGATCAATGCAAGGCCGTTCTAATCCTTCAGTTTTGACAGTTGCACATTTTTTTTATTTATTTTTTTGTTCCTCAGGCTCTGTGCTTCAGCACATTCTACTTGAAATGAAGTAATGGGTACTAAATTAAAATGCCAAGTCTCAGCTTTAATTTGAGTAGGTTTATGTCAGCATTGAAAGAACAGCACGCATGATGCAGCGCAAATAGCAGAGGTTCAAAAGTAATTTGACAATTGACTCCTTTCAGTGGTTGTCGATGCAAAAGCTCACATGTGGCTTAAAGAGGATTGAAAGTAGAGCGCTGCCATTTAGTTTGAGGTATAGGTGTTTGTCAGTAGGAAGGATAAACAGTTGGCTTTTTCAAGTGAATAAGAAGATAGTAAGGCTTAAAAAAAGGGAGAAAAAATCTATCAGTGAGACGTCAAAAGCATTTGGTTTGCCAAAAGACGGATAAAACAGTTACATCCTAAGAAAGCAAGTGTGCACAAGAAAGCTTGACAAATGACCCGGTAGATGGAGCAGCACATGTCTTGTGGATGAGCAGGACAACAATTACATTCATGGTGAAGGAAAGTGCCTTTATGGCAGCAGGGAAAAGCGAGAATGCTCTTGAGGATGTAGGTGCTTCCTTGTCAACAATCAAGAGACAGGTTGACACAGCCATAACTCAGAAGAGGACAATGCGGACCCAGAAAGGCCGGACTGCAAAAAAACACAGTTCCACGGACTGATGGAACAAAAATCAATCTCACCCAAAGCGTACCACCTTTTCTGTCAAACAAGAAGAGAGCTTTGCTATGAGTTGGGCATTGGGACTGGATGCTTATCAATGATCTCTCTGCTGGCAGAATCAACAGGATGAATGCAGAGGTATACGGGAGCATCACACTCTGACAAGGGTTGTAATGAGTAGCAGGTTTAATCGTGCTTTGTCTGATCCAAGCTATTGTTGGATGTGAGAAAATAATTGCGGCATTTTGTGACATCAAACAGTGTTAAAAGCAATACTGACACTTTTGTCCTCTGTTCTTCAAAACAAAAAAAATGAAGACGGAAAAGTGATTGAGCCAGAGTATCACATTTTGTTGTTTTTTTCTGTTTCGTGCAAAGGGACATTTGGATTGACGAAACATCTACAATGTCAGCGAATCTGCCCTTTAAGAATATCCCATTCCATCATCCTCATTTAACCTTTGGCCTTGTGTCTTTGTTCTGCCTCCCAGTGTTTAAATAAAGATTAAACATTTCCGAGGAAGATCTGTATCCTAAATTAGTATTAGTCACCATTAAACTGCACAGCCCTATCATTAGCACAGGTGGAAAAAAAAAAATCTGTGGCTGCAAATTCATTCTCTTGATATAAAATTCATGGTTTCCATTTCATTCATACCTTTTTTCTTTCTGTTCACACCGGTTCTCGTATTTCACGGACTGGATTGCAGGTTGCTGTGCTTTCATGTCTGTCACCAAATTCACAGGGCGGGGCGTTTCAGATCCACGTGATTAGAAAAAATAAATAAAAATAAAGTAAGGAAAGGCTATAACAAGTTCGGCGGACTTCTTTTTTGTTGTTTTCGTTGAGGTCACCCTCACGGTCGGCACTACTCATACTAATTTCTTTACTCTCCACTTAACTTCAAAGTTCTTTTAAAAAAGTAATGAGGGTGATTTGGTAGGTAAGGGGTGGAGTGTGTAGCCACTGAGCGGGGCTTGAACACCCAAAGGACCACTCGGAGACCTAATTCATTAAAATTAGGGTAGTTGGTTCAGGCCTATTCAAATAGTCCCCCTTCACATATGTACACACATACACGCTCTATGTCCTTAAAGTAATCATTAGGAATTCTGCTTTAATTTGAAGGGGTGTTTAACAGTTCTGCCATGCAGACACCCTCGGGCCTCGATAAGAAAAGTCACCTTGTCCTTTTAAGCTCGCATTGCTACCTGCTCACCTACTCTTTTCTCTGAAAATTTCTAAGCGTGCTGCTTGATTTGTAATTAGCTGTTTGTAATTTTCCCATGACAGTGTTTTCTCTACATATGAAGTACTCGCCCAGGTGTATTTTGACCCATTTTAACAAAAGCAGAAAGACGGTCTGAAAATATCCAGTTTGTTTTCTTGTTGTAATAAATTAAAGAGCCTGACAATATTTACAATAAGATCCTCTCTCCAGTAAATATTAGACCTGCGGCAAAAAAAACAACAAAAAACTGTGATTTATGGGTCTCATTGAATCTTTCATCAGTCTGTTTTTCATGATGCCAAACTAAATCAGAGAGTCAAGTATGTAGAGGGAGCACTGCAGTTAGTTGAGATGGCTCTTTGGTTTATAATTGGATGTTTTTTAAAAAGCCAAGTTATCATTACCAGCCACTTGCCAAACAGCTTCATCTTCTGAAAGCGATGCTTGCTTATTGTCTATGCAAGAAATTAGCAGCGTATTAGCAGAGCAGCAGCAGCAGCGGCGGCTTCAGTCCTTCATCTGTGTCTACACAGGATGCATTTAGGCACAGTATCAAAAATAGGTCATCCGTATTTTAACTGTTTTCAGATCCTGACATCCAATCACTGTACACAGAACAGAAGGGAATGTGCTGTAGTTGTAAAAGTACACATTTATGCTATACTTTACACATGCAAGCCAAACCATTACATAACCTGTGTAAGTAGCTGTATTGATTAAAATAGAAGCCCAGCAGGTCTGTCTGACATCATGAGAGTAACTAGGGCTAAAACATGTTGTGTGGATGCCACTAGAGTTCAGTCAGGAACACTTAAGGAACCATAGGTTTTTAACTGTATTACTGCAACTACATTCAAATAATGTATTAATCATTGAAATTAATAAATTGCTAACTAAACTGATATAAAATGGCTCCGTCAACCGGTAGCTGGGATAAGGCTGTTTACTCTGTGAATGTTGGATCCTGCTGGTGAGCTTTCTTTCCCTGCAGTTTAAAAGACTTCCTTCTCTATGCTTAGGCCCGGTGGGGGACAGCTTAGACCCGGCAGGCTTGCAGTAGACTGGCAAGAGCCATGGTTATATTTTTAGTTCATCCAGGTTTTCTTCCATTTCTCCTGTGCTGAGATCAGCAATGAACTTGCTCCGTGTGTCCTCTGAGTGTGAGAAGGTGCTCCATGCTTTAATATAATTACATGGGAAGACACACTTCACTCCAGTAATGCCTCCATGTCAGAGCATTTAATGTCTGCATTAACCGTATTCAGGACTTTTGGACCCCTAGGCCATTTGGTTTAGGTGACAGGTATTGTTTTTTGGGGTTTTTTTAATATAAAAAGAGGGACATTTGTCATACATTTGGAACAAAAAAATACATCAACTTATCAGAAAATTCATTTAACATAGTATAAAAGTCTATAATGAATACCATCCATCCATTTTCTATACACCGCTTAATCCTCATTAGGGTTGCGGGGGGGCTGGAGCCTATCCCAGCCGACTTAGGGCGAAGGCAGGGGACACCCTGGACAGGTCGTCAGTCCATCGCAGGGCTATAATGAATACCAACAAATATTTTGCACATATTATTTTTTCGGGTCCAATGAACCCCGAAAGACCTACATATGGCAACATGAAAGTCCCGAATAGGGTTAAAAACACATGCGATGACGTCACCAAACAATTAAATTTGTGGGCAGCGGATTTCATCGTTGAGTTTCCTTGGCAGTGTCAATTATTTGCTGGTTGACTTGTTAGACAATTTGCTCCACATTAGGATGCTTTTTGAGATGCTATCCATGTTGGTAGAGATGGATTTGAGAGTTTTGCAGCCCTCACAGGTCTTATTTGAACAAAAGACCGCAAACACAAATATGAAATCTGTACAATGCAAAAGAAATGTGACACAAGTAGTAGTAAAGAGCGGTGCGATGGAGGTCCAAGCTGAACAGCAGCATGTCCTGTGAATTCCACGGGCACTTTGGGAGAGAATCCATCACACGCTATGTGTTTTGGGATTGATAAATGAAAACATATGTGTTTAAATTGTTATTGATTTAACGTTTGCCTCTTTCCGTGCCTTGTCGTGCAGCACCGATGTGCGGAGGCCAGCTGAAAGGACCCAACGGTGTCATCACATCTCCAAACTACCCAGTTCAGTATGACAACAATGCTAACTGCACTTGGGTCATCACAGCGACAGACACATCTAAGGTAAAAAGTCATTACACTGAAGCAACGGTGCAGAGTGTTAATTTAGCTTTGTTATTGTAATCACCGGTTTGCAGTGGCATGTTAAGTGGTATCTTTAGCTGGCAGCGAAGTGAAAAGCAGCTGACTGATGTGTTTGCACCTGTTAGGGAGGAACTCCGGAGGAAGCACTTCTCTGACACGCATGACTCATTTAATGCTTTTGATAATTGCTACAGGACACTTTGGGGGCTGTTCAACACACCATGTGACAGAAGCTTTCTCATTGAAAAATGTGAGAGATAAGGAAAATGAAAGGGGGGGGAAAGAACACTGGAAAGGAGCCAACTTAAGACAAAGCGAGTTGTTAGAGACACCGGCGGTGAGGGAGAGAAGAAGAGAGTAAAACGGACAGGAGAGTAATGGAGAGGTTTTGAGAGCATGCTTGGACGATATCATGAAAGTGTCATAGCCGCTCTGTTCAGACCATTGACTTTGGAGTTGTGTTCAAGGCCATCCAGCTGCTTCCGTGCCAAATATCCTTCTGTGAACTCAAACAAAATGATTTTACAAATCTGTTCTCCTATTGCTGGGGCGGAGTGAAGGAGAGGCGATGCGAGGTGTGAGACGAGGCAGGAAGGGTCGCCAGAAACAATGCACACCCACCCGGCTTCACCTTTTCGCTCGCATGCGTACAAACACAAACACACACACAGACACCCTTGGGTATACCCAGCGGGCAGCCTGCTGAAACAGACACCGGCACTTTAGGCTGTCTCTCGCTCTATGCCTGGTTCAGATGAAGATGGAGCGAGGCTGTTCTTTCTGTTTAGAGATGTAATGGGCTTCTATTCCTGCCCGTCCGCACAGGCCCAGCCAGAGGAGATGTTAGGTCAGGCAGGAGACTGAGGCGGAACTGCGAAGGGAGGTGGGTGGGAGATGACAAAGCTCTTCTAGGCCTAAATCCAACCTCATGACATTATGACTAATGGGTTTTTGTCAAGTGTTGCTGCTTCATAATGTCCTGAAGATACTGAATGCAGCTGTTTTTAGTTGACAATCTTTCAAGTGTTTATCCATCAGCGTCAGGGAAGCTGGGGTCTTTGTTCCGAGACAGCAAAATGTCAGACACGCCGCCAGAGATCGCGAACAATAATAAAGTATACAATAGGAGCGAAAGTTTTAGTCACTTGTTTATCCATCGCACAGTGCCACCAGCGATGTGTCTGATTGGCCTCAGATTTGTTCTACAGCATGACAATGACCCCGAACATACCGTCAGTTATACAGAACTGCCTTGTGTCCCCTGATGAACTCAACATTATCAAACAGCCTAAATCTATAAAACTACTATGGGGGAGTTTTCTGAGATGCTTGGAACAACCTCGCTGTCAAATACATTGAAAACTGTTTGTGAACAAAGTTTCGAAGTGTATCTCTCACCAAATGTTGGTTTGCATATTTTTATTTTTGTTTGCTTCACGTTTTTGAAGTTAGTTGATGAACAAACACTATTCATGGAAGTATCTTTGTTCTCATATTATTTTCTAAAGCCCATGCATAACACTCTATGTGTAGGGTTTATAGTGGAAAGAACACCCAAAAGGATGAAGATTTGTATCCTGGCAGACTTTCAAAGCTCTTTCTTTACTTAAGACATAGCAACCATTGTAAAACCAACCGTTAAAACCCTGCATCAGGTATGGTGCACATTGTATACCCTAAATTGCAGCCTGTGTGATCTGCTAATTGCATTGTTTGAAATTATTTCTCAGCAGGCGTAACAGAAGGCTATGGAACAGTTGAAATGTTGCATCCAGCTCACAAACTAACCTCCATATGTTCAGTTCAACCGTGCTGCTTTCAGTGGCACGTCAATGTGGGTTCTTGTTGTATTTAGAAAGAGCTAATATGTCATACAAGGCTATCGGATGTTTTGTTCGGGCATTGCTGACACAGTTGATGCAATTTAAAAAAAAAAAATCTGATAAAAACAAGCAACTAAATCTAATGAAACTCAAATTAAATGGGTAAACTTGGTACAGCCCAGAGCCAGTTGAATAAACGGAGGTTCTCGCTTGTATGCTGCTATGGCAACATTGCCTCTCACCAAGCAGAAGTGGAGAGAGAAACAATACAAAAACCAAACAAAATAGTCCAAAGAGCCCACAAAAAATGACTGTAAAAAGCTCTTTGGTTTGACATATTGTGAGTACACGATTAGCTACATCCAATAAGTAAGATTTAAGACACTTTGCTTCAACTGTTCAGTGAGGAGCATCGTCACTGAGCTTCCCCCTCTTTTTTGTTTCTTTCCATCTACTACGTACCTCACCTGTTGGCTGGCAGATGGGAGATGAGTTTGTGGTATGAAACTCTATTTATCGAGCGATCTGACCTATTTTGCCTACACGCCATCAATCTTTTCTCTCCACCTTGGCAATTTTCATTAGGCACGAGGTTTAACATAGGACAGAATGCAATTTGCATTTATATAAGCTTTTTCATTAGGCCTTGCTCTCTCAGCCCTCTGAAAACATTAAGAATTTGGCGGAAATCAGTGGCAGCCAATTTAAACTAGGAGACAAAGACAGTCCTAGCTTTGCTTTTTTTTATTTATTTATATTTCAGTCTGTCTCCCAAATTACTCTGTTTTTGTCTTTGTTTATCTATTTTGGCACCGTCAAAATTAAAACCTATTTATTTGTCTGTCTCTATTGAAGTTGACCCTTGCGTCCCTTAGCGAGGACAAAATTATTGTTTTTACTACCTTGCTCCACTTTTTCTCTCCCCCTTGCAGCACAGAAATGACATTAAATTAATCGGTTTGTTTTATTCGTCACTGTTACAACCTAAAAGACTTTAGTTTCACCTTTCAGATACATGTGTTCACCTTGTGAACAGCTCCTACTCTCCTGTCCCGCCTCCTGATGCGCTTTAAGCTCTTGTTCGTCCGGCTAAGTAGGCCACAAAGATGTCTGCAACCTGCTGACTTGATGAGCAAAGAGTAGGGGTCATGCAGACTGTCTGGCAGACAATCAGATGTTTTGATTAGTGGGAGAGAGTTTCGAAGCAACACACTGAAAGTCAGCTATAGCAAAATATACACACAGTCGTGTCTACGTCATATACTGTGTAGCTACACCAAACTGTTGTTTAGAAAAAAATGTAAAAGGTGTTTGAGCATTTCCTATATCACAATGTGTTTTATATGCAATACACATAGCTCATACATGCTGTACGTGTGAATTAAAATGTGCCCTGCAAATATTCAAATGCACATGATGGATGATTTATTGACGGGCAGAGGGTTGCAAAGTCACAGATGGGAAGAGGTCTCCTCTCTGCACCTGGTTTCAGGAGCATTCGAGCATCTGTCGTTTACGGTTGTCTTGGTGATGTCCCCGCTGTCGTCTAGGTGATCAAGCTGACATTTGAGGATTTTGACCTGGAGCGAGGCTATGACACGCTGACGGTGGGAGACGGCGAGGTGGTGGGAGACCAGAAGACCATATTCCACGTGTGAGTGACTCCGTTGACCTCCATGTTTTTTGGGGGGCTTTTTTTTGCCTTTAATCTCGCCTTTGTTCTGTAACTTCTTTTGGCTAGCAGTCATTTTCAGTTTTGCCAGTCGTGTCCCCTGTAATCATATTCTGTCTTTTTACTTTCTCTTTCCCCTTCACCTTTCTTCTTTGTGGGACATTTGCCTTTTCTCCGCCTCCACTTCCCTTCACCCGGCAGCACTCCTCTATCTCTCTTCCCTTTCCCCCTCCAGCCTTTTTTTTTTTTTTCCCCCTTCGTTATACAGTTTCTCTTTCATTTCATCACCACCTGATGCAGTAGTGCATGAAAAATAGATGTGGCACTACATTGTCAATCATCTTTCCTTTCACTGTTAAAAACAAGATCACAGCCATGTGGCGCAGCATTGCAAACTGCATATTGATGCCCCCTAATGGAGTTTGCACTAGCAGATGCTCCATAACAATTCACAGGATGTTGTTATTAATTGTGCTGAAATTTACCACCTTAATAAAGTTTTTATAGATCAATTTTTATGCGAAGCTGCCTTGCTGGGATGGGAGGCGGGAGGAGGAGGTTGGAGATAAATGGGAGATAGGTTCGCTGACGTGAGAAGATCTTCCTCGCTTTAATGTTTTGTTGTGTAGTCGCACATACACGCAAACATTTAACCAGAACACAAACACTGAAAATGGCTTAATCTGTCCAATTAAGAATTGCCTTTCCCCTTATGGACTTCTTTATGGTATGAAAGTAGAGTGAGTAATTTGGTCCTCCTGCACACAAAACAAACCAGAACAATTTAGGAGCAGAGAATATACTGCTGCTATCAGCACTGTTAAACTCAGGACTATATTTTTGTGAATCGGTAGTGCAGGCAGGCATGTGTGAGGTGCAGGGAATTATTTTTGTAACTTTAAGGTCAGGGGCGAGTAACCTCACTGCAGCACAGCCATAAATATGGTGGTTAATAGGCACTGAGTCACAACCAATCAAATCCCGTTTTTGTTCACTTGAAAGACATTGTCCTCAGTCGGGTAGTGTGTAAATACGCCACAACAGTTGCTGTTTTTCCTATAACGGTGGGAACAACATGAGTCTCATAAGCATTACTTAACTAGGCCATGTTTGGCTTCATGTTAGATGGCAGTTATTCAAACCACAGACCTGTCAGATATCGAAGTGATAAGCAAGACGGTTGACAGAAAAATACCTCCAAAACAGCAAAATGAGAACGTGAGGGTATCCTAAAACCCGCATGCTTCCTTGGTACTTCCTCGGATACAATACATTTGTTATTGTTCCTTCCTCATGTGCATAGAGGTTCACAGAGACTTACCTAAAGACTGCAAGAAAGGACGACAACATGAGCCCGACTCATCCAGACACCACTGCTACTCCCACTATTCTCCATGTTCCGTCACTAAAATTAGAACCCTTAATCACTTAGTCTGCAGCCATACACTTCCTAATTAGAGTTGGGTGGAATTACTATTCAAATAGGATTAAATTACTTCTGTGGCATTGACTGATCTCGCCTTCATTTTCCACTTTCGTGTCCCCAGCTGTTGAATTAAGGAGTTAGGATTTAAAAAAATAAGTTTCTCAGGCTGGAATCGCTCACAACAGTTTTAAAGTACTTTTTCTATGATGAGAATAATCAGATCGTTTAATATGCAACTTCAGGTATTGTTTTTGCTGCTTGCAGATGCATTTCATTTGTTTTGTGGTGCAGTAGAAACTGTGTTTTTTTGCAATTAAAGTGACGCCAGGTTCACTGCTCAGTATGTGCAGATGCTGAGTTTCACATTTGACATGCTCTGCTGCTGACACACTATATTTAGATCATACATACAGTGGAATTCAAAAGAAACTTTAAAGTTTGTTTTTTTTTCAAGAACTCTGACAACTTGTCTTGTTTCTGTAGCCTGTCTGGTACCACTACTCCAGACCTCGTGGTGAGCACCAGTCACCAGATGTGGCTCAACTTCAAAACAGATGACACCAGCGGCTCCTTGGGCTTCAAGGTTTCCTATGAAGGTAAAGATGCTCCTCACAGTTTGGTTTTCAGTCAGTAGGATGTTTTGGCTCTGAGCTGCATTCTAAAATGAGTTGTTGATTGAGTTACCCAGCTGACTTGACGCTCAAGTAGCATAAAAAAAAGAGATAATGTTATCTCTACCTTATGCATCATTCCATGTAAAGTTGCTTTTTGAGAGGTTTTTAATTTACATTACTGCTCAGTGCCTCATTGTTGTGCAGAGACACCAAAACAGCCAATTAGAAAATGCCAACATGGTCTAGATGCCTTAAAGTTAGAAGTCCAATTTAGCGTAACTCCTTTGACAACCTTAAATAGATATAAATGTGTTTGTGTTGTTGTTATTTATCCTTTTGCTTTGTGACTTACTGCTCACATCATGAGTTCTAACCAACCATGTAGCTCAAAAAATTGCATTTCTACATAACTAAACTGCATCTGCAATTACTTTTTTCCCCCCTGCTGGATTACATGTGTGACATATTCATTCAACCAATCATATTTTAGATAGGGCGGTACTCATCACTCTGGTAAAAGTGAGATATTCCTCTAAAGCTAACCGAACAGTGAGTGAAAACCGAAATGAAACTTAAGTCTAAGGGCTTACCTTTCACTGAGAAAATATGTTTCCTACAAAAATAAGAATAGTTTAAGCTGGTAGGAATGTTGGGACAAGGTTGTAGCAGAACACCCAGTTGACTGTAATGCTGGTGTAGTTCCCAACATGAATCTTTCAGAGTTAATTTTCAAAAAACACAGAGATTAGAGATACTGCGTCTGCCTCATTTAAGACTTCTGTGATGAATTTATTAGCATCATAACATAACAGGCACCGCGCTTAAGGCTGTGCGACCTCCATCTGCCACATGGCATGTTACAGCGACAACAACAGATTACAAAGACTTTAAATGCAAAACAGGCCTAAGTGATCTCTTTAAAAAAAAAAAAAGCCACACTGGATCACTTCGGGTGAGTAGTTTTGTACACTGTATGACACTGAGAATTGAAGAAGTACCAGTGAATGAAACCGCAGATTGCTGGTTCCATTACAGCTATGCACAAATTATGCTTTTGGGTTCATTATTTGTGTTATCTTTTTTGCATTTAACGCTAATGAGTCAGTACAATAAAAGCACTTATTTTGGTAAATAAACTGGTGAAACACAGCCAGCGAGCCATTCATTCACTGATAGTTGACGCATTTATCCTACTGGCAAATACTGATGCGACTCCGTGTTTGTAATTATACGTCTGCGTGTTTAAGTGCACAAGTGTGAGCGCTTTAACAAATGAAGAAATGTGCATGTGTGTGTGTGTGCGCGGAGATGAGATACGAGGAGTGGCAGTGTGAGTTTCCTGCGTGCGTTCTGCTTCCCAGTGTGTATGCATGTGAGTATGGGGTGTTTGCCAGGGTTCCTCTTCTAGTTAACTCTGCTGTTTGCCTCTCAGAAGCACAGCGAGTCTTCTCCCTAGCCCACAGATGCTTATTTTTCATCAGCAAAAATAACAGAGAAAGTGGAGCAGCAGGCTGAACCAAAGTGTAATTAAAACAATGAGTTCTACTTAATGAAGGGGAAGAAACGCTTTGAACCACTTCACCTCCCAGATTGGAGCACCCAAAATCTAATTTGCATTCTCAATTACTTGTATTTTAAGCCTGATCATCAAGTGTAATTGCAAAACACAGTCATACCAGTACACACACTCCCACCTTACCCATTTATTCGGCTGTGGGTTGCACACGCTCGTGCGGCGGCCCCCGGTCTTTCTGACGATGCAATACTTGCAAACTAAATCGGTATTAATGCAAATGAGCCGGTCTAGACTCTACCACTGCAGTGCTGTGTGCTGACACTGAGGGTGTTTGACTTGAAACATTTTGATTTGTTTATCCTGCAAAGCGATTCACCGAGACTGTAGCTCAAATCGAGGGCACGACGGTTTGTCTTTTTGTCTTGAGTGAAGGTTTCAGAACTGATGATTGAAAGCTGAATATTTGTGTCACATCTGTTAACTACCTATTGATAGGATGTGCTGATACTTTAGATTTTTGCTTTAGCGCACAGTGACTATAAGATCATCCACTTTTAAATCAAATCCACGTGGTGTATACACTTAAAATAGTTTTGATTTAGCAGTGCAACAGTGAGTTTGTAAAGCCCTTTGAAACATTGTATGCAATCCTGGGTTATACCAATAAACTTGACTAATAAAGCCCCTTTGTCATCCAGGGCCTTGGGAGATTGCAGTGCAGTTGTTGACAATAATTTGAGTCCATTACAGTGCTTGGATTATTTTGGAGTGTCAAACAGAGAAGGCCAATAAATATGCCCTGACATCTGTTCCCTTAATCATCAGGATCCACTGCCGTTTTATTCACTCCTGCCTCTGTGCACGTATTGTGTATAAGAAACCGCCTTATTCACAACATACACATAAATACACAAACGCATGTACAACAAGGGACTCAATCAATGAAACATGTGTACACAATCATGTACATGCACACTTCAAAGGGCTCTTATTTATTACCTTCATTTTCCCAGAAGTTCTTATCGTAGGGACCCATGAGGCAGCGTAGTCTTATCTCAGAAGCCTTTTAGCGCTTGATTGTGTGTGTGTGTGTGATTTTCATGCATTTGCATTAGTATGTGCGTATTCTTGTTTCTGTCTTATAGTCAGATTGTTCGCTCAGATCCGGTCTCTGCAGGATGTTACTCATTCTCTTGGTTCATTTTCCCCTTGATTCTCTCTCAGGCTCTCCTCAAAACTCGCTTTCAGCATTCCCTCCTTTTAAAGGTGACTTCCACGTAAGATCAATGAGTTGTCTTGTGAATGAGGCTGCCTCAGGACAGCCATACATCCAAACAGCAGTGAGCTCTAAATATGTGTTCTAAATGATGATCATCATTAGGGCTGAGTATGGATTTATACCCAGCATCACCCCTGGTGCGATTTAAAATCGTATTAGGCCCTGCCATCATTTCCTGGATGGATGAGCTTATTCGCTCTCTGTGTTCCCCCCCCTTCCAGATGCCTCAATAGGATGCCTCAGCATTCCCATCTGCAGTCTTCACCCTCCGAAAAGTAGAGAGAAGAATGAGTGAATGAAAGGGAGCTGCATAAATCTTGCGATAATGAAATTGGCATGTGTGGTTTTAAGGAAGAAGGGTGGTCATGGAGGTGTGTTTGCGCACGAGTCGGAAAGTGCTCGCGTCAGCTTCCAACACTAGTGAGGACATTAGTCAAACTGCGAGAGGAGGGGGGTGTATTTGCAGTAGGACGGAGGAGGAGAGGGAAACAAATGAGAGATTGGCAACTTTAGTGCGCAATGTTTTGGGAGGATAAAGAGTATAAAATATGTAGTGGCGAACGAAATTAAATGTGTGACAGTTGCGGAAAATGATGCTGATTATAATGTTATGACGTGTAAAAGATCACACTTTTTACTGAGTCATTCTTAGAATATTATTTCTTTTATATCCATTCCCTCTTCGCTAAAGGATTCAGAGACTTTGTTTGCTTCTAGGACTCCAGAACACTGTGGACTCCCACTGTTATTTATTTATTTATTTTGTATCTGTTTCTATCTTTTAATAAAGATGTTACAGATCAGTCCAGGTGCACATTAGTACCTGACTCACTCCTCACTAGGGTAGATGGTCAGATGGTATCTGTTGAAATAAACAAAGGTCAATAGCTTTCTATATTCTCTGCAACTGTGCGTCAAGGTTCAGGGAATCATTCCTCGTCGAGGCGGAGGTATGTTTTCACTGCCGTTTGTTTGTCTGTAAATGTGATTACACACAAAAAAAAACTATGAGAAGTGGATCCAGATTGCTTTCTTAAAAATTAAGTACTGGCCTTGATGGAGGGCTGTTGTCTCTAAGTGCTCTTCTAGTTATTTCATACAGTAACAGTGGCCGTAAAAGTGTATTTCTCACTATGATGATGAACACAATATGGTAAATATGAACGATGAAATAGCTTTGAGAAAAATAAAAAAGTGAAGAACCAAGCTGTGGGAACAAGTAGAAAAAAAAAATACAAGAGGAATTTTAAACAGGTACTGAATCTATTTTTCCAGTGATACTGATGCTCTCTTATCATTTTTAATGAGCTAACAAAATCCAGGAGGTAAATAACACAATGTTGTTATTGTGAAGCACTGTTTTCACTTTGATAGTGGCTTACCATGTCCATGTGGTCTGTTTTTTTTTTTTTGTCAAGCAAGGTCAAAAAAATTCTGGCCTGTACTGAAGAGATTAAGTCTGTATTGATCTACTTGGCAGTAAAAAAAAAAAAAAAAAGAGAAAGTATGCTTCCCGTAATAACACTTTTACATTAAGTGTAGATGCAGATATAATGTGGAGTTCTCCTCACAATGTGCCCTTCAGTGTTTCCCGCAGGTTCAGAATTTATCTTTCTAGGGAACGAGGCTGGGATTCAGCTCGTTCTGTGGTTCTGTTGAGAGTTGGCTTCAGAACTGTGTTGGTTTGAATGATTAGGGAGTTATTTTTTGCTGTCTATACTAATGCACAAGAATGCGCCATCCTCGCAGGCTTCTCAGTCAGCAAAAATGAAAGCACACACACACACACACACACACACACACACACACAGAAATAAAGAATGCAAATTTGAAAATCAGCAGGGTTTAAGGGGAGCTTTTCTGTTCTGTTCAGTAACTTTATGTTAACCAGCTATGCTCACTTTGGTCGGAAACAAATGACTTGTTTGGTTTAACATTTAATACGAGATTTGTCATCTTCATATCACTTATTCATATGTAGCTGTAGAGTGTACAACCCAAATTCATGTTTCGCTGCTTGACATAATAATTTGTTATCATAAATCTTTTGCATGCTGAGCATTCTGCCAAATGTGTTTACTTGTGCCCGCGCAGAAATTGACCAAGGCAGCTGTGGAGATCCTGGAATCCCAGCTTATGGCAAACGCGAGGGGACAGGCTTTCGTCACGGAGACAGACTCTACTTTGAGTGTCTGCCTGCCTTTGAGCTGGTGGGGAAGAAGAACATCACCTGTCAGAAGAACAACCAGTGGTCGGCGAAGAAACCCAGCTGTGTTTGTAAGCTCTCAGAAGGCTAATGCCGTTTGATTCGACACACTCGGTGTGCACACGTGCATGAGTGTAACATGGGCGTATAAATATGTATGTTGGTTCTGATGAGTGCGGGGGGAGGGTGGTGCATAATAAATGGCCAGATTATCCTTACAGTTTGCCTTGCAAAGGCTGTGGATTTTGAAACAATAGGAGGGATTATTAGCTAATTAACGCCATGAAAGACAAATGCAGAAAGCGAGAGAGTTGGAGGGTGAGGGGGGGGAAAGGGAAAGAGAGCTGACCATGCAGATAATGCCCGCTGTTCTATTATTGATAAGACAATAGGGTGGACAAAAAGCTGCAGTATCTAGATAAACATCACTGAGCTGAATAACAGAGCGCTTGCTGGCACAAAAGTCATTTTGGCTACATAATACAGGGAAACAATGTTTATTTGGTTACCATTTAACAAACTGTTTTAGTCATGTGGAGATAATGCAGCATGCTTGTCTCTGTCACTGTAGCCAACAATGTAAAGAAGATGACATACTTTCCTAAATGTACAGTTTTCCAATGCCCAGTTCTCTGTTAGCAGGTCCCATAGTTAATGCATCTATTTATATCTCTTCTGTATCC